TTTTTGTGTATGGCGTGAGGGAGCGTTCTCACTTCCTTGATTTACAAGTGGCTGTCCAGCTTTCCCAACGCCATTTGCTGAAGAGACTGTCTTTTCTGCACTGTATCTTCTTGTCTTCTTTGTCAAAGATTAGTTGACTGTGGGCGTGAGGGTTTGTCTCTGGGCTCTCTGATCTGTTCCATTGATCTGTGTGTCTGTTTTTGTGCCAATACCACACTCTTTTGATTACTGTAGCTCTGTAGTATTGTCTGAAGTCTGGGAGGATTATTCCTCCAGCTTTGTTCTTTCTCTTCAATATTACTTTGACAATTCTGGGTCTTTAGTGATTTCATATAAATTTTAGGATTATTTGTTCTGGTTCTGTGAAAAATGTCCTGAATAATTTGATAGGGATCACATTACATCTGTAGATTGCTTTGGGTTGTTTTGCCATTTTAAACAATACTAATTCTTCCAACCCAAGAACATGGGATATCTTTCCACTTCTTTACGTCATATTTAATTTTCTTAGTCAATGTTTTGTAGTTCTCTGTGTGTAAGTCTTTACTTCCTTGGTCAGATTTATTCCTAAGTATTTTATTGTTTTGGATGCACTTTCAAATAAGGGATTGTGTCTTTACTTTCCTTTTCTGATATTTCATTGATTGTATAAAGAAATGCAATTTCCAATCAAGATGGCAGAATATTAGGACCACCAGCTTGCCTCTTATCACGACTAAACAAAACCACAACTGACTGCTAAACAACCATCAAGAGAAAGAAAAAAGAACTGGAACCTAGCAATAAAGATCTTCTTCAACTAGAAACATAAAGAAGGAACCACAGCAGGATGGTAGGAGGGGCGTGCTTGAGTCCCAGGGTGGGTGACTCACAAGCTGAAGAATAAGTAAGTCACAGAGGTGCTCCCACAGGAGTGAGTTCTGAGCCCCACACCAGTCTCCCCAGCCCGGGGTTCTGGCATTGGGAGGAAGAGGAGACCCCAGGACAGCTGGTTTTGAAGGCCGGCAGGACTTAACTCCAGGAGCCCCACGGGAGTGGGGAAACAGCAACTTCATTCTCTTGGGAAGTGTGCACAGAACCCTGAGTGTGCGACGCCCAAGGGCAGAGGCAGCGATTTCATGGGAACCTGGGACAGGCCCACCTGCTGGTTTTGGAAGATCCTCTGGGGACGGAGGGGATGGCTGCGCTCACTCAGGGGACATAGAGGCTGGTGGTGGACATTCCAGGAGGGTTCATCTACATAAGCTTTCCTGGACTGGAGGCTGACATCTTGATTGGATCATTACCACCAAGACCGAGCCCCACCCAACAGTCTGTGGGCTTAAGGGCTGGGAAGCCTCAGGCCAAACAACATAGTGGGTGGGAACACAGCCCCACCCGTCAGCAGACTTCCTGAGCCACAAAGGCCTCTAGACACGGCCCTACCCACCAGAGGTCCTGGACCAAGCTCCACCTGGCCGTGGGCAGGCACCAGCCCCTCTTGCCAGGAAACCTGCACAAGCCTCTAGTCCAGCCCCATCCACCAGGGGGCAGATACCAGGAATAAGAAAACAACAATCCCAAAGCCCGTGGAAGGAACCCACGAACACAGCCAGACCGAAGATGCACACAGAAGGACTGACTATCCAGAGCTCTGGTTTTAGACGACCAGAGAGAGCAGCCAAGATACATAAATGGAGCTAAAGGACCCTGGAGTGACACCTACAGGAATCAAGCTCACAGACAGCACACCAGCCCTCCACAAGCTTTCTTTTTAACTGAAACACTGCCCTTTTATTTCAGACTTCCAAATAGGGGCTCCAGGACCAACGGTCACCAGCTGCCCAAATACCAAAGACTTTTGCTTCGGAAATCTCTTGATGTGAACAAAAAGTACTGCAAACCACATCAGTAAACAAGGAATGCTGAAGCCATCATGTCATCAGTGGCTGCCCCACCCCCCAGTGAAGACCAGCCTGCAGCCTGGCCTCTGCAGCCGCTCACAGTGGTGCACTCAGAGGAGACTCAGAATAAGCAAGGACAGGACACTGGCCCTAGGCAGCCAGGTGCTTGTCGAAGGAATGAATTCAGTGAGCCCAAATACTTGCTTCTTCCCATACGGAGAAAACCACTAAATTCTTTAACTTGAGATGTCTGGTCTTCAGTTAACAAGTAGTCTTTTAATGATCTGACTGCCTGGTCCTTGTTGTAAAGCTCCTCCCCTGCCTCTTTGGAGCCGTCCCTCGGAGCCATCTGAGCGGCTGTCACCCTGGGCTGAGTCTTCAGAATTGTCCACCGGATAAAGCATAACTCTCAGCTTTTAGGTGGTGCGTTTATTTCAGCCGACAATGTCAATTCCACATGCAGAGCAATCAAGCTGCCGTACGTGTGCCACTCACGACAAGAGCCTTTTCCCACACAGTTTTTGGTAGTAATTTTACCTCAGATGACCCTGAAAGGGGAAACAAAGCCTTCAGAACAGAAGAAAAAGAGGTGCCAAATCATCTCCAACTAACACGCCAGCTGGGCTTGTTAGGCAGTTAGATAGAGACGAGCACTGGGCAGGGGGAGTGGAAGGGGAAGGGAATAACCCAGAAAACAACAGTACATCTGCACTCAGGATTAGGGACTCCAGAAACTTACTTTCTCTGAAGGAGGGCCAGCAAAAGCAGCCAGCTAAAATCAAAACACTGCAGGTGTGCGGGAGGAGGACCTGGCGTAACTTGATCCAATGCTCATTAAAATGAAATTAACATTACAGTTTGAGCCCCCTCCCATAGGTTTCTCTGGTGAAGAACCTGCCCCAAAGGGGATGGGTGTGCCAGAGCACAAGGAACCTGAGCTGTCAATCAGCTCGATCACTCAAAGAACCTGAGCTGCTGATCCGTCAATCAATCACAAGAAACGCCCCTAAGCCAGGGTAGAAGATAGGAAATCAAAGGAGAGGCCCCACTTTCCCGGTCGTGGGCTGGCCCGCTCCCAGTTCTCAGGAGGGCGCTGTCTTTGCTACTTCTTTACTTTACTAGTAAAAATCTTGCTCATATCACGCTTTCTGCCTCTCATTAAAAATTCTGTTTTTTTTGGGTGACTAAGAACCGAGGTAATTTTTACGGCCCTTTTCCCGGTAACAGGTTTATGTACGTATGGGACTATACGTGAAGTACTTGCTTAATTGGGAAATACAAAATCCTCACCCTGAAATGGCCACAGTGGGGCTTTTTTGACATTCCAAAACTGTTTGTTGTGTAAGCAGTTAGAGAAAGCTGGCTTGACAGAACATCTTTCACAGTTCTGACCCTAAGGGAACAAAATTCCTTCTAGAAGAAGCTTGCGTTTCTCTCCCCGGGCCTTTGGATGTAGGTGCTCTGACAGGTCAGACAACTCTTGTCTAGACCATCTTCAGTTCCTGAGACTAAAGGAAAAAGAGGGAAGAGGCCTTTTTAGAAACTCAAGCAAATAGACTTAGTTTTTTCCAACTATTATTTTTTAATTTTATATTTTTATAAATTATATTTTTTATATTTAATACTTGATTCATCACTAAATTTTAAAATGAAAACTATGAGTCTATGTGAAGGTATGTACATTACAAATATGTTTCTATGTCCAGATGGTATTGCTAAAAGTAATTGTAAAATTAGCTCTATTTACTTTGTTCACAAAAAGTTAAGTGCTTATGTTAATTCTCAGAAATAGGATAGAAACTAACCCAGATAAATTTCAGGTTTATGAGATCCAGGAAATATCCAGTATTAGATTAATATTCAGTTTTAAAGTTAGTTTAAGTTTGGTTTAATTAATACAGACATGTCTTTAGAGTTACCAACATTAAATATAATACTGTTATTGTACCCAAGTTTACTAAAAGTCAAGTAAGTTTATGTTATCTCTGTTACAAAATTTGTCAGCAAGAAAAGTAGTTTGGGATGATGGCCGACTGAGACAGGAGGGAATAGGGCACAGCCATTCAGGGAATGCCACAGCAATTAACACCAAAATGGGGAAAGGTTCAACCCCCAGCAGGCCTTGAGGCTCAGGATGGTGGGAGATTTAACTTCTAGCAGATCTAGAGCGTCATTATACGCCCATTGTAATATATTAACATGGGGAATAACATGCCCACAGGTGCCATGGCAGTCCGGAGGTCAGCCACAAAAGGTCAAGAGTGGGAAATGGCCAACTTCCTGGGAATCCCAGCCCCTTCCTCAGGCTACTTGCACTGGTCCTTCCACTTATTAGCATTAGCCACCAAGCCCATAAAAACTAGCAGCACGGTGCCTTATGGCCGCCGCCCCCCTCTTCAGAGACGGCCCGCACCCTGTCTGTGGAGTGTGCACCTACTTGTAATCTGAGCACCCAACCCCCACACCTCCTGGCCTGTCCCTTGCCTTTCATGGTATCTCTGTGAATAAATCTACCTTTACTCAACTGTGGCTCCCTCTTGAATTCTTTCCTGTGCGAAGCCAAGGACCCACACTTGGCGGGGCACGTCCCGGGGGCCCAACCGAAGCCTGGGACACAGCCCTTCTTACACCCCACATCCATTTTCCTACATCATCTTGGTCTAGTGTCTCATGAAGTTTTCATGGATAATCTAAACATAATTATTGGTAATAAGTGAATTAAAGAGATAGAAATGGAGTAAGCCTTCAGGTGAACATTTTAAGAATAATTGTTTTATGATATGTCTAGTTAAAAGTAATTTCTCCAGATTTTTGGTAACTTGAAACTTAAGAATCTTCTTAACTTAAGTTAAATGATGAAAATTTATTGAATGTCTAGGTCATTTCCAAATAAAATACTGGAAGATTAACTACAGAAAGTTATTATGAAAGATATTAGTAAGTATATTTGGTGCCACTGAGACAGGATGGAAGGGGGCAGGGCACAGCCACTCAAGGAATGACAGCAATTTAACACCAAAATGGTAGGGGATTCACCTCCTCCTTGGCCTTGAGGATTAAGAGGTTTAACTTCTAGTAGACCTTGAGCTTCATTATACACTCATTGTAACAGCGTGATCGAATAACATGCCCGCAGGCGCCATGACAGCCCCAAGGCTAACCAACCGCAAAAGGCCAAAGCAATGGGCAGTGGCCCAGTCCCTGGGAACCCCAGCCCTTTCCCCTGGGCAGTTGGGTTGATCCCACCTGTGGGCGTGTGAAGCTACTGAGCCCATAAAAAGTGACACCACCACGCCTAGTGGCACCTAGTGCTCTCTCTCCCCTTCGGAGATGCCAGCACTCTGTCTACGGAGTGTGCACCTACTTTTACTTTAACCTGAGCACCCAATTCCCACACCTCTTTCCTTCCCTTTCTCTTGCCTTACACTCTATGCAGTGTGTGTCTCTCTAAATAAATCTACCTTTACTCAATGGTGGCTCACACTCGAATCCTTTCCTGTGTGAAGCCAAGGACCCACACTTGGTGGGGCACATACCAGGGGCTCAGCTGAGACCTGGGACTTGGCCCTCCTCACGCCCCACATCCGTTTTCCTGCATCACCACACCGAGGCATATTCTATAAGAAAGCACATGTCTTTTGAAATTATAAATAGTAAGTTTGCTGATCTACAGAGTGCTAATGTAAAAGAGTTCATAATTGCTTACTTCTTGATTTTCACTAGAAATTAAGGGTTTTTTTTAAAGGTTAAGGATTGTAATTAAAATAGGTAATTAAAACTACTAAAATTAATGAGGAAGACATCTTTGCATGCAAGGAAAAAGAAGGTATAAAGAATGGAAATGCATTTTGTCAAAGGAAAAAGTAATTTTGTTCTAAAAAGAAGTTAAAATAGAAAGGGAAAGCAAAGGACAAAATACCAAGGTGAAACATTTCTGATCACTTTCAGACAACTGCCACTGAACTGGGGAAGACATGACAGAATTTTGATGGGGAACCTGATGGCTACATAAACCTGGTAACAGAAGGTCAAGATCCAGAAGAATTAGTACACAGGGATGAAGGGCAACTGTTACGACTTTTTGTCTGAAATATTGGTTTTTAATGTTTGTTTTTCAGATCTAAGGAAGACTTTCTCCTTAAGGTTACCATGACTTACAGCAATTTGATAAATTATACCTTTGCAAGCAGAATTGAGTCATTTATCTTTTCTCTCCACCTGATCCCTCCAGAGTTTGGAAACTCCTAGTGAGTGTTCTTACCTTCCTGGCAATATAGTTATTTTTGGAAGTTCAATGAGAATCTCTTCTCCCTATAACAAGACACAATTGGAAGCATAAGTTATATTAACCTGGCTTTGAAATGTCATATTTGAGAATATGCATAAAATCAGGTATGACCAGACAGCTTTAAAGAACAAAGGTGAACATTATGGAGCCTGAAGCTTCTTGGAAAAACAACCTGATACCTTGTTTACTGGGTTCCAAGCAGCTTTACCAGGTGAATAAGGAAGGTCACCTCCTGGCAGGTGCAGAAATCTCAATATATTTTGGGGACTTTGAGAAGAGTGGAATCCACCCAAATCTGTAGGGATTGCAGGCAGAATCTGATGGCAAGTCCTTGGTGTGACTTTCCTGGCCTTGGGAGGCCTTTTAAAGTTCAATCTGAGACTCCTTATAAAAAGTTCCATCAACTAACTGCTGAACAACAATTGATAAAAGAGTAGAACCTACCAAAAACAAAGAGCTTCTACATCTAAAGACATAAAGAAAGAACCGAAATGGGAGAGTGGGGGGGGGGCGCACTTGTAATGTAATCAAACCCCATACCTCCTGGGTGGGTGACCCGCTGCTGGAGAATAAGTATATTGTGGTGGTTCTTCCACAAGAGTGAGGGTTCTGAGCCCCACACAGGCTCTCCAGCCCAGGGGCTGGTCACCAGGAAGAGGAGCCCCCAGAGCATCTGACTGTGATGGCCACTGGGACTTAACTGCAGTAGCTCCACAGGTCTGGGGAAACAGAGACTTCACTTTGAAAGGTCATACACAAAATCTCATGTGCACTGGGACCAAAGGTAAAGTAATGACTTCAAAAAACACCCAGGAATAAACCTACCTAAGGAGGCAAATGACCTGTACTCTGAAAACTAAGACACTGATGAAAGAAACTGAAGATGTGACAAACAGACTGCAGGATATACTGTGTTCTTGGACTGGAATAATCAATACTGTTAAAATGGCCATACTACCCAAGGCAGTATACAGTTTCAACGTAATTCCTATCAAATTGCCGTGACATTTCGTGCAGAACTAGAACAAAAAATTGTTAAATTTGTATGGAAATCACAAAAGACCCCATAAAGCCAAAACACTCTTGACAAAGAAGAATGGAGCTGGGGACTCAGGCTCCCTGACTTCAGACTATAGTACAAAGCCACAGTGATCAAAACAGTATGGTATCGACACAAAAACGGACATGAAGATCAGTGGAACAGGATGGTGGCTGAGGGTGAGGAGTATGCAGACTGGACCCTGGAGGAGAGTTGCTGAGAGTCATCTTGGCCCTGGGACCGGCTGCAGTAGCAGAAGCCAGACCGTCCCACTCACTTAGGAAGAGGAACCTCCTCGAGGGGCTGCTCACAAACCTTCTCAAGGAGGCTCACGGGGGCAGCTTAAGGGGCAGGCTGCGCATTCACACCCACCTTCAGGAAGGAAGGACTCACTCTCCCAGCTGCTGGGAGAGTGGGCAGCTGTCTTGGGGACTGGATCTGCTGAAGAAAATGGTGTCACTTAAGGTCATATCTCCTTTGAGGGGCAATGTGTGACCAACATGGATGACTTGCGCTGCTCTAGATGTCTCTGGAGGGTCCTCCAAGCTCCAGAGCTCCTGAGGGCTCAGCTCAGGCATTTGCTGGGCCTCAGTGCAGCTCAGCGTTTCTGCTCCCATCCCGTTCCTTCCCCACCTCAGCACTTGACAGGGAGAGCCTCCTCTTAAAGTCCTACTGCCGAGTCTCCTTCTCAGAGTCCAGGAGCGTGGCCTGGAGCAACCCTGCAGGCCCTCGTTAGCCATCCCGA